AAGCTTCTGAAAATGACAACGCATCCCTTTATGTAGCTACAAATAAAAGCTGTACAGGTAATACACTTTTATGGTAACATTTGACAAATTACGGAATGAGGGATCCAAGATAGAATATTAGGAGCTCATATTTTCATACATGTCTCACAGCAACTAATCTATTTGAATATGTAAAAGGACTATTAATAATTTCTTTTATCTTCACATACAAATGAGATCACATCATTCACGGCAGATCGATTTTCCATTTCAGTCCAAAACTGTCGAACGCATTCTAACCACTTAATCCAATAAACCTAGAATATTTTTTATTTCAATTTAATTGAAACTGAAATCATTCTCAGTAAAGACAAATTTTATTTCATCGAAATGTACAAATAAAGATCTACATTTGTTGCAGCACAATTTACCACAATACTCAGGATTTGAAAATGAAGTTAAATAGTACGCAAAACTGTCAACTTCTTAACGACAATTTGTTGTTGATCGAAACAATTCTTAGGGTTTCTCGGTATGTTGAAAAATAATTTGAAATGTTTTTCCTCAATTCAAAAGAATGCAAAATTCTTACTAAAAACTTTCAAGACCTAAGGGACTTAGTCAACAACACAGAACAATCAATTACTTCATACAAATGCAGAAAGATCCTCAACAAACTTTACAAAAGAATAAAGAGTTTTTAGGCTTGTAACTTCAATTGCGATCCCCAATCTTTAAAGTCAACTCTGACTGACAAAATATCTGGTCTATGTGTTCCATTAATAAGAATTTAAAACTTAACACCAAAATCAGATAATTATTACAAAAAAAAGAGTTAATCACCCAACTACTACAAAAATCATAAAAGCATTATCATCAAGAGACAATGAACTTAAAATCAGTGTTAGAAACGAAAGCAATGTAAAATAACTAAAATTTATGGCTTTTTCCATTCAAACTAAATGACTCATGAACTGACCTCTAAATGAGACGCACTCATTTCTACAACATCTGCAACTGAACCATCTTCTTTTGCTATCACGATTGCTCCACAACGAATCTGAAAAAAGTGCGAAGACTCATAGTGTGATAATAATGTGCTTTCATTTTATGCAAAGACGATTTCAAAGTTT